CTATCTATACCTTGTGGCTAATAGCCACTGATGGACCTCTGCGCCATATGTTTATCCAGTTCCCTCTTGAAGCCGTCCATCCTTGTGGCCGCCGCCACCTCCTGTGGCAGTGAATTCCACATGTTAATCACTCTTTGAGTGAAGAAGGACTTCTTTTTATCTGTTCTAACCCGACTGCTCAGTAATTTCATGTAGTGCCCACGAGTCCTTGTATTGTGAGAAAGGGAGAAAAGGACCTCTTCCTCGACCTGCTCTGTCTCATGCATGATCTTGTAAATCTCGATCATGTCACCCCCTCGGCCGTCGTTTCTCCAAGCTAAAGAGCCCCAAGCGCTTTGACACTTCTTCATAGGGAAAGTGTTCCAACCCTTTGATCATTCTAGTTGTCCTTTTCTGCACTTTTCCCAATACTGTAATCTCCTTTTTGAGGTGTGGTGACCAGACTTGCTGTAGCCCACCGGAGAGGCTATTTCATCTCTGTAGTCAGTTGGAATTCCAGGAGCACTCCAGGCCTCGGCTGGGGGTTGGTAACAGCATCTTTGAATGGCCTGATCTCTGCTGAGCAGGAAGTTGTTATCATCCTCTGGCTACCAGCAGTGTGGCCGTCTGCTCAGCTCAGGCCAGAGTTTCCCCAGCTGCTAGCAAGTTGCCATGGTGACACAGGGAGAAGGATGCCTGAGCGCCACTGCGAGAGGCCTGGCGTTGGTGCCTGAGCAGAGTCAGCCACTTGGTTCCCCTTCAGCCAGGGTTCCTCAGTCCCAGGTCCTAGCTCCCTTTGCCTGCTCCTCCCCTTATTTGGGGGCACTTTCTGTCGATTTTGTCCCTCGCTTTGCCCTTGAAAGGAGCTGCGGTGGCTCAAGTGGTTAAGACGCTGAACTGCAGGCTGGGGGAGGTCGGTAGTTCAGCAGTTCGAGACCCGGATGCCGCATGATGGAGTGAGCTCCCATCTCTAGTTCCAGCTCCTGCCAACCTAGCAGTTCGAAAGCAAGAAATTGCAAGTAGATAAATAGGTACCACTTCAGTGGGAAGGTAACAGCGTTCCGTGCGCCTTGGTGTTTAGTCATGCTGGCCACATGACCACGGAAACGTCTTCGGACAGCGCTGGCTCTTCAGCTTTGAAACGGAGATGAGCACCGCAACCCTAGAGTCGGATTCGACTGGCTTTCGAGCAAGGGAACCTTTACCTTTTTACCTTGCCCTTGAAACCTGCCTACTCCCCAGTCAGATTCAATGAAGCCCTGACCTGGATCGTCCAGGCAAGACCAATCTCATCCAGATCTCGGAAGCTAAGCAGCGCTGACCCTGGCAAGTACTGGGAAGCGAGACCTCCAAGGAATACCAGGGGTAGGATGCAGAGGCAGGCAATATTAAGCCACCTCTGTGACATGTCCAAGCCCCACTAGGGGTTGCCAGATGTCAAGCATGACTTTCAGTCAGTCTCTCTGTCTCTCTCTCACACACACAAGTACTTTGGTGTAGTGGTTAAGAGCGGCGGACTCTAATCTGGAGAACTGGGTTTAATTCCCCACTCCTCCACATACAGCTGCTGGGTGACCTTGGGTCAGTCACAGTTCTCTCAGAGCTGTTCTCTCAAGAGCAGTTCTCTCAGAGCGCTCTCGGTCCTACCTACCTCTCATGGTGTCTGTTGTGGGGAGGGGAAGGGAGAGGAGTTTGTAAGCTGCTCTGAGACTCCCAAGTGAAGGGTGGAGTCTTCTAATCAACAACAATAACAACAATTAAGTGGAAAGACATCACGCCTGCCACCTCTTCAAGCCCCAGGTATCCTCCTTGGGGTACATTTACTTGTCATCCCTCCTCCTTGGAGATCGGTCAAGATGGGTCGCCACGTGTGTCTGTCTGTAGCAGTAGAAAAGGTATCTGAAGGCGTGAACGGTGGCTCACAGAAGCTCCTGACCTGCCACAAATTTTGTTAGTCTTTAAGGTACTCCTGGACTCTTGCTCTTTTCTAATCCTTCCTCCTGACATCTTAGCAGCTACACACGAAACTGCCTTATACTGAATCAGACCATCAGTCTACTAGCAGTGGCTTTCTAAGGCCTCAGGCAGAGATCTTTCACAGCACCTACAGCCAGATCTTTTAACTGGAGGTACCAAGGATTGAACCTGGGACCTTCTGCATGCCAAGCAGATGCCCTGCCCCCCAGCTGTGTTAGCAGGCACAGGAAAAAAAAATGTGTCCCTTGGTTTCAGCTGTTTCACAAGTTACGGTCTAAGACTGTATATGTACTGTAGTATTTGAGGAAGCTGTAGGTATTTACGTCCCCTACAACGCTGCATTTTTAAAATTAAAACGATATCTCACCTTTCTCCCCAATGGCGACCCAAGGCATCTTAACATAATTTCCCTCTCCTCCATTGTATCCCAACAACAACCCTGTGAGGTGGCTGCGAGAGTGTGACTGGCCCAAGGTCACCCAGCGAGCTTCCATGGCACAAATGGGGATTCGAACCTGGATCTCTCAGATACTAGCCTGACACTTTAGCTGCTAGATGGCACTGGCATGGTTGCCGGTGAACTGCATTCTCAACTGCACATGTGGTGGAAAGAAACAGCGGCTCGGGCGCCTCAGCCATGGCACCGTGAACTCTTAATGCGTAACATCTGAAGCATTCCTTGGAAGTACGCCGATGCCTTTGCCCTTGGGTTAATTCAGAAAGGGCAGCTTGACCCAATGACATCATTTGCATCTCAGAAGAAACGAAAGGGGGGTGGGTCTCGTTTCCTGATACTGGCTGTGAAGTACTGTCAGGGATAGAGGCTACAAGGGCATGACCGGGGACGGAAACCGTTGGCATTGCTGTAAATCAGTCGGTTGCTTTGGAACACTTTTCAGAATCACTTCCTGCCTGTAATGAAAGCCAGTCCTTTCAACTGCGCTCGTAATTGCAAAGAGCTGCGCAGGGCAAGATCAGAGTGTTTAAGGTAGGGGACGCAAGGGGTGGATCATCTTGAAGCCTGTTTCCCCAGCACTCTTTTCTGTAATTAAGGACCGCAAAGAAACGGTAGAACCTTAGGATTGCCTATCCCGATCTTAGCCCGCCTCCCTAACTAGGAATGTAAGCTGAGGACATCAAATCCAGCATCTTGTTTTCCATTGTGTGACATACCAGATACCCCCAGAAGGCTTACAAGCGAACTCCTGCACACAACTGGTGCAGAGAAGCACACGCTCTCTGAACATGGAGGTTCCATTTCATCATTGTGACTAATAGCCGTTGCTGGATCTGTCCTTCATGAATCTGTCTGATTCCCCTTTAAAAAGCCATCGCTGCATCCTGTGGCAGTGAAGTTCGTCAAATCGTTAATGAGGTGTTGTGCGTGGAAGTACTTTTCCTTCGTCGTGAACCTGCTGCCCAACTATTTTGCTGGGTACCTTGTGAGTTCTAATTTTTTTTTTGTGGAGGGAGAAAAAGAGAAAAACGCCACCCGACCCAGCCGCTCAACAGGATGGAGGGGCCTTCTTCCCCTGAAAGACTGAAGTTCTGGTTCTTTATTTCTCTAAGAAGCCACTGCAGAGGTTTATACCAGGGGTGGCCAAACTGTGGCTCTTTCACACATATTGTGCGGCTCCCGGCAGGGCAGCTGGGGAAGCGAAGGGGAGGCATACTTTTTCTCCCTCCCTCCCTCCCTCCCATCCATCTATTTGCTTTCTTTGTTTCTCTCTCTCTCTCTCTTTCTTTCCACCTCTTTCATTCTTTCCACCTCTCTATCTTTTTCTCTCTCTCTTAGACAAATAAATATCATGAGCAAACAAATAAATGTCATTGGACAAATAAATATCCTTATAAATATCTGTTTTTACCCCTTTTGTGTTTATTTTTGGCAGTCTCATTTAATGTCAATAAAAAGCAAGTGTGCATATTTTTAAAATAAAAACATGTGTGCAATGTTTGTTCATGTCTCGTGGCTCTCAAACATCTGACGTTTATTCTGTGTGGCTGTTAGGTTGAGCAAGTTCGGCCACCCCTGATTTATAACTTGCCTTTGTTAGTTGCCTCCCCCCCCCCCCCCCGCAACGGCTGAGGGGAAAAAAAAAAAAAGGCTGAGTGGAAGGAAACAGGACCGGGGCAAAGATGTGCTGAGATACAACAGGCTCTCTCCTTTTGGGCAGAGGTTTCAAGGCTTTAGTACATGTATTTCTTAAGACATGGCATGGAGTTCCCTCACAGTCTTTGCTTGGGAATGACTAGGCTGTGTGTGTGAACCACAGGCTTCTGTTCTTCAAGGCAGGCAGGCCTGTGGCATTGCAGGGTCTACCAAGAGACAGCCAGTGGATTAGGGAAACTGGATGACTAGATTCTCCCGTGTTCTTCAATGCCCTCTGGTGGGTACAAAGCGGCAATCTGTTCCTTACTTTTAATGTATTGGGGATTTTTCTGCTAGAGGTCAGGGGGCTGTTGAGGAGGTGGTTCCCTCTTCCCTGCAGCTGGGGGGGGGGTTGTTCACATTTCACCCAGAGTACAGTCAGCCGGGGCCAAGAGAAATCCCGCCTGACCCAGCTCCAGAGGCAGTCATGAAACAGGAAGGGGTTGCCTCATTTCCCTTGAAGGACTGAAGTTCTGGTTCTTTTAATTGTCTAAAAACGCCATCCGTGCAATACCTTTCTTAGGACCAACCCAAGAACACGTGACTCTGCAAACTTTCAAGTCCCGCAGAACTCTTCATCACCTTTGTCTTTCAGAAGTTCACCGTATCCTGGCACAAGAAGATCTAAAGATAGCGATGGCCTGAAACATCTGCTTTCCCCCTTCTTTTTATTTTGTAATATTTGGCCTGGTGAAGAGTTCTGAGGAACCCAAAAGCTCGTACACCATTGTGTGGGTTGGTCCTAATCAAGGTATTACATGAATGGTGCTTTTGGCTTTTTGGCTTTTGCACCAATCCGGCTGTAAGCAACCTGCCTATTTATTTCTCTGTCTTGCAGCTTAGGAAAACTTCTGGTTATTTTGTCCTCAATGTGTGTCCCAACATTTTCCAGGAAGCCGTCGGATCGTGGATGTGATGGATGTGAACACGCAGAAAGGCATTGAGATGAGCATGTCCCAGTTTGTGCGCTATTACGAAACGCCAGAGGCTGAACGTGAGAAGCTCTACAACGTGATCAGCCTGGAGTTCAGCCACACAAAGCTGGCAAGCATCGTCAAGCGCCCCAATGTGGTGCGTTGGCACTTTCTTAGGGTGTTGGGGGCTTTTTAGTTCATTGTCAGCATGCAATTGGGTGTTTGGTTTGTGAGGGGTAGCGGGTAGAGCAGGGGTGTCAAACATGCGGCCTGCAATCCAGCCTGCAAGGCCCTGGTTGTTTCCCTGCTTCCTTTTCCAGTTCTGCTGCTGCTGCTGCTACATCACAGCTTACTTTACCAGACTCTCTCCATCACACAGGAGAGATAAATAGGCAAGCCTCTCCTGTGCGATTAAGAGAGTATGGTAAAGCAGTGGCCGAGGCTCCTCCCCCTTCTCCTCCCAGGGGGTGGGAGGGAACCAGCCAGAGCTTGCTTCCTGGCCAGGTTGCCTCAATCATATTCAGGAGACAAAGGGAAGCCTTTCTTTCCTTCCACTGGCTGCGGCTCGCTCCTGAAGGGAGACAGGGAGGGAGGGAATGAGTGAGAGCTTGCTTTGCTGGACTGCTTCTAAGACCAGCAAAGTTTCATTCAAGGTATGAGCTTTAGTGTGACTTGCTACAGTGTGTTTGTATTCTGTTGGGCTCCTTATGCTGTGTGTGCTTCGTTGGGCTCCTTATGCCAGGGCTCTCCTGGGTGCAACTGGGTTCCCTTCCCCTTTTCACTGTGTTCATGCCCTCATAATCCAGTCTTTCTCAGTAAGAAAACAATGTGAAAGTTCATTGTGTTCGTCTATGTCCTTTATAAAGTTTATATCTCTGCTACCTGGCATTACATTTTTTGACACACAAGGCGTGGCCCAACAAGGTCTCATTTATATCAGATCTGGCCCTCATAACAAGTGAGTTTGACACCCCTAGGGTAGAGTATTGAGACTAGGACCAAGGGACCCAGATTCAAGACTTCAGTCATCCGTGAAGCTTACTGGTTAACTTTGGGCCAGTCACTCAGCCTAACCTACCTCACAGGGTTGTAGGGAGGATAATAGGAGGCAAGATAAGAGAGCTGTGTATGCCACCGAGAACTCCATGGAGGAAAAATACTCCTTTTTTTTCCTAATACAAGCAGTGCTCACTCTAAGCTGTGGAGTCTTGCGAACAAAAATTCTACTTTGTGAGCTACGTTGCGAGGCAGCGATTTGGCTACTGCATCAATTAGTTTGCTCTGGAGCCCTCCTTCCTGAGCTAAGACCAAAATGTGTGAGCCGGAGGCTACAAAACGGTGAGCTAGCTCACACTGACTCAGCTTAGAGGGAACACTGAATACAAGTCAGGCCCCAGAGAGAGTATGATGTCTACAAGGAAATTAAAATGTTAACAGGACAAATCCAGGGGAGGCTTGAAAAGGTGCCCATTTGTTGAATGTTTGAGTGGAATTAGGTAGACCCATGGGTTCTGAGAATACGCATTGCTTTGTTGGATACGACCAACAGTACTGCAGATCTCAACAGTGAATACCTGCTACCTTCTCAAGGCAGCTGGCAAAGTAAAACAATAGAATAAAATTATCAGTAAGAGAGAAGCCAGGAGCTGCGGTGGCTCAAGTGGTTAAGACGCTGAACTGCAGGCTGTGGAAGGTCGGTAGTTCAGCAGTTCGAGACCCGAGTGTGCCGCATGACGGAGTGAGCTCCCGTCTCTAGTTCCAGCTCCCGCCAACCTAGCAGTTCGAAAGCAAGAAATTGCAAGTAGATAAATAGGTACCACTTCGGTGGGAAGTTAACAGTGTTCCGTGCGCCTCGGTGTTTAGTCATGCCGGCCATATGACCACGGAAACGTCTCCGGACAGCGCTGGCTCTTCGGCTTTGAAACACAGCCCTAGAGTCGGACTCGACTGGCTTTTGAGCAGGGGAACCTTTACCTTTAAGAGAGAAGCCACTGAAGACAAGCCACTGCACAAAACAGAGCCCCCCCCCCCAAATTAAATAAATAGAAATTAAAAGTAAACGATTAAAAATAGCGTAAAGATGGAACTCCTCCATTGAAAAGCCTGGGGTAAAAGCAGTGTTTCGGCCTGGCGCCCAAAGGGAGAGTAAAGTAGGTGCTGAATAAGCCTCAAGGGGGGGGGGGGACAGCACTCAAAAGGCGAGGTGCCGCCACTGAAAAAGCCCTGTCTATGGTCGCCATCTGCCTTGTCTTGACATGACCTCTTTTATTAGAAGATAGTAGCAGACCTGTCACTCTTTCAGCGGCACAATTTTATGCATCTGTGATAGATTTTCACAGCCATTCAAATGGGGGCTAGCTTTTTTCTGTATTTTAGTCATCTGCTTCGAACTAATAGGTTAAGAAGCAGTATGAAGTACAGAGAGAAAGAGCTCTACCTCGCCTCTGCAGGCAAGACCACAGAACAGGGCTTGAGAAGAGAATCTTAACTGGAAGGCAGGTCCCTGCCCCAAGGCAATTGCAATCCAAAATTTGATGTAGAGACAAGAAAGAGGGAGAGAGAAGCAAAAGTAAATGGAGGGGAAAATATATTGAAACCCCACCCCAGAGTTTAAAGGAACATGTCAGTCATTGCTGGGTTGGACTGGATGGGCCAGGGGTCATTTCCTGCGGGAGCGCACAAGAGCGGAGCTCCGGCAGTAAGGAGCCCAAGGGGCGGGCACATGTAACAAGCCCCGCCCCCTGCTCCCAGCAGCCCTCAGTTGGGCCACGAGGAGCAAGAAGCAGCCAGGTAAGTTGCAGAGCCGGCCCCGCCGACCTGCCTTCAAGTACAAGCTCTCCCTCCTCTGTGAGGGCAGATCTGTGCGTCCCCGTCCCCCCCACCATAGCTAGCAATCCAGAACAGTCCAGTGGAGCCTGAGTGGTGGGTGTTGCCTTCTGACACACTTCCTGTGATGTCAGGGGGTGTGGCATATGCAAATGAGTTATGCTAATGAGCTCCTGCACCACTTTTTCTACGAAATGACCCCTGGGATGGGCCATTGGCCTGATCCAACATTGGCTTCTCTCATGTTCTTATTTAATTTGTATATCCCGTACTGGTTGCAAAATGGGGGGGGGGGGTATTGGTGCAGCGTTTGGACCAGCTGAGCCATAGACTTGATTTTTTTTTTAAACCCATGAAAAGAGGCCTTTCCCTGATGTTTATGGACTCACTCTTGACTCCCGATGCTTTTCCAGGTGGACTTAGTCGATTGGGTGGACAACATGTGGCCCCGCCATCTAAAGGAAAGGCAGACAGATGCCACCAACGCCATTTCGGAGATGAAATACCCCAAAGTTAAAAAGTAAGTGTTCTGCTATGCTTGTGGCCAGTGTTCACTCTAAGCTGAGTTGGTGTGAGGCAGCTCACAGTTTCTTAAGCCTCTGGCTCACATATCTTTGTCTCCGCTCGGGGGACGCTCTAGCACAGGGGTGGCCACCCGTGTTCCCTCTAAGCTGAGTCAGTGTGAGCTAGCTCGCAGTTTTTTAGCCTCCGGCCCACACATTGTTGTGTTAGCTCAGGAAGGATGGCTCCAAAGCAAACTAATTTATGCAGCAGCCAAACCACTTGCTCACAAGCTTAATGACAGTAACTCACAAAGTAGAATTTTTTGCTCACTATCCACAGCTTAGAGGGAACAGACCACACTTGCTTAACGTGAGATCCACATAGAATAAACGTCAGGTGTTTGAGAGCCGCAGCAAGACACAAACAGATATAACCCACGTGTTTTTATAGAAAAAATTGCAAATTTGCTTTTTCTTCACGTTAAATGAGGCTGCCACAAATAAAAACAAAAGGGGGTAAGAATAGATATTGATAATGATTAGATGGGGAGGGAGGGGAGAAAGAGAGAGAGAGAGAGAGAGAGAGAGAAAGAAAGAAAGAAAGAAAGAAAGAAAGAAAGCAAATCGATGGGAGGGAGGGAGAAGTGGAAAGGAAGCAACTTTAACTTTAAATGCATCTTCCAAGACCCCCACGCCCCTCACGCCAGCTGGATTGGCTTGGAGAAGGGGTTTAGAGAGACAAATGCCTTCTCCAAGCCGACTGGCGGGGGTGGGGGTGTCTTTAAGAACACATTTAAAGTTAAAGTTGCTTTCTTTCTTTGCTTCCCCCATCTCAAGCCTACCCAGGGAGGGGAACACTGGCTGGGGAAGGGAAGATCAATCAGGGAGGCAAGGCTCCCCTTCGCTTCCCCAGCCGCCCTGTTGGAAGCCGCATGATATGTGTGAAAGAGCCGCGTGTGGCTCCCGAGCCGCAGTTCGGCCACCCCTGCTCCGGCATTCGGGCAAAAAACAGGGCGTGGGGGGGCCTCCCCCCGCAGGCCAGCTGGTTGGTGGCAAATTGGGCCCCTCGAAACCTGGGGAGCCCCCACCCCTGTCGGGGGGATGGCAGCCCTAGATGGACCCAGACAGATATCTCTAGGGAGAGAGTTCCAAAGTTTTGGTGCTACAACCAAGAGAGTCCCATCGAGCTTCAGACGTGTGGAGCAGCCGATGCAGGGCCTAAGAAGAAGAGGAGGAGGAGGAGGAGAAGATGATGATGGTGATGATGATGATGACGATGACTGGATTTATACCCCGCCCTTCACTACCCAAAGGTGTGCAGCTTACAAACGCCTTTCCCTTCCCCTCCCCACAACAGACACCCTGTGAGGTAGGTGGGGCTGAGAGAGCTCTGACAAAAACTGCTCTTTTTCAAGAACAGCTCTGACAGGACTATGGCTTGCCCAAGGTCATCCAGCAGGTGCAAGTGGAGGAGTGGGGAATCAAGCCTGGTTCTCCCAGATTAGAGTCCGCGCACTTAAACACTACACCAAACTGGCTCTCTTTGAAGACGATAGTTCTCACTAACAGCAACTCTCCAGGATCTCAGGGCAAAGAAAGTGCTTTCGCAGTATCAGTTCTCTGTGATCCTTTAGCTGAATATGCTGGCAGGGATCGGAACTTCTGCGTGTAGAGGGGGGGGGGCTCAGTGTCTATACCATTTTTATCTCTGCCTGTCTCCAAAGAGCTCAGGGCAACTCTTTTGTGGGATCTGAAGGAAGTTTATGCCGGAATAAATCTTGTTAGTCTTTAAGGTGCCACTAGACTGTATGCGGTGGCTCAAGTGGTTAAGACGCTGAATTGCAGCCTGTGGAAGGTCAGTAGTTCAGCAGTTTGAGACCCGGGTGCCGCATGATGGAGTGAGTCCCCAAGAAATTGCAAGTAGATAAATAGGGACCACTTCGGTGGGAAGGTAACAGTGTTCCGTGCGCCTTGGTGTTTAGTCATGCCGGCCATATGACCACGGAAACGTCTTCGGACAGTGTTGGCTCTTCGGCTTTGAAACGGAGATGAGCACCGCAACCCTAGAGTCGGATTCGACTGGCTTTCGAGCAGGGGAACTTTTACCTTTACTTAGACTGTATGACCCTGCTTCATACCAGCCTTTCTGCACTTCACTGGCTTTGTACCACTGCGTGTCCCAGGTGGTTTCAAACAGACTGCACCACAAGTATCTGAAGAAGTGAGCAGGGACTCACGAAAGCTCCTCCCCTGCCACAAATTTTGTTAGTCTTTAAGGGGCTGCTGGACTCTTGCTCTTTTCCACTGCTACAGACAGACTAACGTGGCCACCCATCTTGATCTATCTGAAGAAGTGAGCAGGGCCTCACGAAAGCTCCTCCCCTGCCACAAATTTTGTTAGTCTTTAAGGGGCTGCTGGACTCTTGCTCTTTTTTACCGCTACAGACAGACTAACGTGGCCACCCATCTTGGTCTACTACGCCAGAAGCGCTGTCTGAAATGGTATTCCGCTTTTCCTCCCTGGTATGCACAGATTTGCTCTCAGGTCGGCAATTTCTCTACCACTCACCAGTCCTGTTTTAAGAAAACATGTTTGGAGGTTAATATTTGGCGCTGATTCTGTTGGCTGCTTCAGTGTGGTTCATTTGCTTGTCAGCTTTCGAGGCATTTATTTAGCGGTTTCTGCATTGCCTTAGTTGCTTCTGGCTTTGCCATATTTGCTCGAAAGGAAGACAGCCACGAATATAAGACAACCCCGCTTACAAATGGTATCCACACAAAAAAAAATATTACTGGACATGACTAACACGTGCAAATGTAAGATGATACCCTCTTCTTTTGCTGGCATACCTGTGGGGGAAATTGCATTTGAATAAATACTGAGTTTTCCTGTTCCTTAAGACATTTCAGTATGTTTGGGGTTTTTTCTTCTGCAAAGTTAAAAATAATTTTGGTTAGGATCCCTGGAATTCCCTATGTACATTCTTCACATAGATGGTTTTGTTTATGTTTTGCAAAGAGATGCAAATGGCTTGAACTTGTTCTTGTGTCTTGAGAAGTCGTTTCCCCCCCCCCCATGCACTTTGTGTGGCCACCCTGAGTCAACCTTGGAATGTTTTTGTGTTTAAGGTGTTAGTTTCTAATTTACGATATACAAAGGGATGTTGTGATGCTTGGTGTAGTGGTGGTGGTGGTGAAACCTCCGGCATTGATGGGCTCAGACACATGCTTGTCACAGAGAGGTGGGACAGTCTGAAGGGTCTTCTTGGCAGGGATTGACTGATCTGTCGTGACCAGCGATAGGGTTTGGACAGGCAGGAGTTCTGGCCGCTTTAATTGCATTGCATGCTTATGGGGGGGGTCAAAAATTGTTGTTGCGGCACCATGTAGATTTCTGATTTTATCGTTGTATGACTTGTATATTGGATCGTTTTAGTATTATCTTATATTAGACCGTTGTACACCGCTCTGAGCAAGCTCTGTGGGGAGGGCAGTATAGAAATTTATAAATAAATAAATAAATGCTTTTATTTGCTGGTCACGGGCGCTGAAGCCTTCCCCATAACCCTTTTCAGCCACTCCTCTAAGAGCTCCCTAGATATTGCACACTTTCAGTATACCTTTGCAGTCATGAGCAGCGTTCCTTGTGCAGGGGGGGGGTCAACAGTGGGAGGGCTTCTAATGTCCTGGCCCCACTGATGGACCTCCTGATGGCACCTGGTATTTTTGGGCCACTGTGTGACACAGAGTGTTGGACTGGATGGGCCTTTGGCCTGATCCAACATTGGCGTCTCTTATGTTCTTATGTTCCCTCTAAGCTGAGTTAGTATGGAGCTAGCTCACAGTTTTTTAGCCTCCGTCTCACACATTTTTGTCTTCGCTCAGGAAGGGATGGCTCCAGAGCAGACTAACTTGTGCAGTAGCCAAATTGCTCACTCACAACTTTTAATGCCAGTAGCTCACAAAGTAGAATTTTTGCACACAAGACTCCACAGCTTAGAGGGAGCATTGGTCATGAGGGCTAGAAACGCGTTTCCTTTTAACGGAAGCTAAAACGCCGAGGAAGTAGAATTCTGTGTCCCTTTTTACAATCTGCTTTTATTTTTGTATGCGGTTGACTATGTATGTTATGCCATTAAAGGTCAGAATTGAATTGAATTGAATTGAATTGAATTGAAGTGTATGCGATTGAAAAATCTCAGCACATGTACATAGTGCCCTGGGTAATAATGCCTGTTTCTAGTGAAACGTGCTGTGTTCTATATCTGATGCTAAGCTGATTCTCTGAAACAGAAAGCGGGCCAGGAAAGGGGAAAAAAGCAGTGGTTGGTTTTTACAAACACAGATGGTATCGGCAGATACTAATGTTTGGTTTTTGGCTGCAGCCTGCAGAGTTCTGTGCAAAGGGATGGAGTTGGAGATTATCCCATCTGCCGCGCTGGTTCAGTTACAGGGCTAGAGAAAGCGTGGAGGCTGACCTGGATTTGCCCCATTAACTCTTTATCCTCCTCCTCCCCAACCCACCCTTTCCTTCTTTAATGGTCTGAATATCACAGTGGATTCCTTCTGCTGGGCAGAAGTGGGTGATGTGCATTCCCACTTAAGGCAGGAATTCCCAAACTGTTTGCCGCAAGGAAGCCACTATCATGTCCTGAGAAATAATTAAGTGATTAGAAGGTTCAGTGAATTCAAAAGTATTTGGTCGCAGGAGAGAATATTTAGTGTCTCTGCGTGGTTCACTGGTTTACCCTTCAGTTTCCAGTCAGCCTTCTTAGGGTCATTTTCTGCATCACAGCACCAGGAATGACTGGAGAGACGTTGTGGAATTAGCTCTCCTCAGAAGAGTCTACCCATTGCAACTCTGCGTGAGTAACTTTTTGACCTCACCAACCAGAGGTACCCCAGACTGGTTGACATGTACAGAAAGAAGTAGAGACAGGTGGGCTCATGAGAGTGATTGATTCTTACTTTTACCCTTTTTGCAAGTTACGTTTCAGAAGGCATAAGAGGAAAATTG